TATTTTGTAATATGTCTCTTTTTGTAAATATGCTTACAATTTTTTTTATGATGTTTTTCTCAAACCTTACTGAATTTTGTTAGTGCCTTTTAGGCAAGGTATTCTTTGCTCAGGTACAATTATTTCGGTCGACACTAAAAGGGTTAAATAATTCCAGCTGTAAAAGGAAATCTAATTACATACATCGCGCGATAGAACAGACATTTTTAGATCCTCCTTTGGAAGATGGATGTAGTGTCTAGAATACGTAAAATGGTGGCATAACTCTTGCACTAAATACCGAACGGTTAGTTCACCTAATAGTCAACTAAGATGGCTGATTAATTTACAAATTAGTTTTTAATTTTAAATCAAAGAAAACGACAAAATTATATTTCTTATACATATTTCTGTTTCTAAAATGGGTAAAATTGTTTCGCTAAAGTATTGTTTCTTTTTTAGACAAGAAATAAAACGTTTACAACCATCTTATCCTGCATAATACTTTTCGAAACGATATTTACATTCTGTAAATATTTACAACATGTATTTACATTTTGTAACTAACGAACCAAACGATAAAGTTCACTCGCTTAGATTCTTTCTTATTTACATTTGACTGAATTTCTACTGTATCTAGTTAGAAGATTAACTTGATGAAAAGCAATTACCGAGAAATACGGTGATTGTTTAAATACTGATACAATCTGTCGTGGATTTACAGCCGCAATTGCACGATTGCTTCATTATTGCTCATGTGATCACATCGCAGTGTTATTTAAAAAAACTTAAAAAATATGTTTCAAGGTGTACAGTAAAATAGGTAATACTATTTACAACTAAACTATGTTTAATTTCAATTTTAAGAATCAGCGTTAACACATATTATAATTACTGGTAGATAAATTATATTGATAGATATTAAATAAACTCGGTACAATGCAATTATAATATTTATTTCTTTTTAATTTTAAGTTGTTTTAAATTTGAACATCATATTACTTTATTTTTCCTTCAACGTATCAGCACATTCGAATTACACTGTCCAACAAATTTTAACTTTTTTTCGACGTTTCTATTTTCGTTCAGTGATTCTTATAGCATTTTTCGCGCTGCTTACGAATCTGCAATCCGTTTTTCTCCAGTAGGTACAGTTTTTGAGAAATTTGAGTTTGAAAAAAAAGCACATTTTTAAAATTTGAACCAATTTTGTGAGGTAACTATAAAATATACTAAGATTCTGTTTACATCAAAAGATTTTATAGACTTTCCCGAATACAACGATATGTGCGTTTTATGCATTCTGAATGTTAAAACATGTTTAAATGGCCATTGAACGCCGAGAGACACGGATTATGCACCAATTTTTACGTATATTTTTCAATTTATTTTAAAAAGTAAGGGTGTAGTGGAAAATTGAACTATACCACGCGATAGAGCAGACTTTTACCTTTAAGAAGGATCCATAGAAAGTTGCAACGTCGTTTTTTTACGATGCCAGAAAGCAAAATAGCAACGCACGAGGCGAAGCAAGCAACCTTGGTGACGTGAGTGATGAACACGTTGAAAGATTCCATTAAAATATTTCCGTTATGGAGAACAGATATTGTGGCAAAGATAATGCTACAATGATATTAGATTACTAAATACACGTCACAAACGTCAGTCCAGAAGAAAACAATTCTAGGTAAGTTCGCAAGTTATAAATATCTGTTTTGTATCACTTTTACTTGAAAAATTTGTTTTTTTTTTCAAACTCAAATTTCTCAAAAACTGTAGGTGCTGGAGAAAAACGGATTGCAGATTCGCAATCAGCGCGATAAATACTATAAGAATCACTGAACGAAAATAGGAACGCCTATTGGCTGTTGAACAGTGTTATCTGTCTAACATAAAAAGTCAACAAAAAAGTTTATTAATTGAAAATTTAAACGTTGAAGAATTTAACATATTCAAACAAAATGAATAAAATTATATGTAAACGCAGTCAAAATATTAAATGATTTATATTAAGTAAAAAACAATATCATAAATTTCTTTTTTGTTAAATTACTAACATTCGTGGACATTTTCAATTTTTCTATCGACAGTCTTTTACATCTACACTGAAATTTTTTAATGTTCCAGGCTTTTAAAGATCTCAAAAAATTCGAAGTGTTTATTAAACAAGCTCCATCTAGTACATTGTACAATTGTTTCAACTAATTTCCAGAAAATTTTTCAGAAAAAATAAAAATTGAGGAGTAGCTAAAAAATAGAAATAGTTACAGAACGTTGCTACAGTATTTTTATTATTATTTATACTTTATAAATGGCTATTATTAAGGTACTAAATATGTTAATGTGAATATCGTAATATCTTACGCACAGTTTTATTCAGTGTAACATAAAGCATGCTCTATTAAGCCTACACATGAACCACTTTTCTTTAATGCAAAAAACACGATTATACTTTTAAACGAGGACTGCAAGAGTTGCTTATTTTTTCATTGTGTTCCATGATTTATAATTTTGTATTCATGTTTATACATTTATTGAATAATTCAAAAATTTGTCAGCCTTCCCTAAATCCATTATTTGTTATTAATTCAAAAATTTGTCAACCTCTCCTAAATCCATTATTTGTAATTATTTAATATTTATTATTTATTATGAAAGTTGTTAATATTCATTGTGGAATATTATTTTTTCGAAAGTACAGAATTCCGTATTAATAGAATTTTGAAAGAAACAATTTGAATGAAGAATCTACAAAATTTACATATTTCGATATCTGCTGATTTACCAACATTTCGTAGGAAAAATATTTATATAATACTATTATATTTATTGTATTATTCTTTTGTAACATAATATTAGAAATGGTTAATGTACATATTATTTCTTCTTGTAAGAGGATATTAGTAGAAGCAATTATTGTTTACTTATTACTTATATAAATAAAGTTATTACAAAAGAAACTACTTGTACGAATACTTTTTGGACCCACTGTAAATAACGTGGACTACTTCTCAAACAAAGAAGCAGATCTAATTGTCAGAAAATATATGGTTATACCACACGTGAATACAGGTCGATGCATCAAACGCATAATGGTACTCGCTCAGAATCCTTTGATCTCCACTTATGCATAATGTATGATAAGTAAATGTTTGTATCACTGTTCGTAAATACTCGCTTTCTCCGACAGTAACGTATCCATGACCTTTCTCATGAAAGAGCCGGCTGTAGCAGAACATTAACTTATTTCAAATTACGAGCAAAAAAAATATGAAGTAACATTTTATCTATATTGATATTATGTTTCCATCATGATCCAAAAATTTATTAAATTAATCAGTAAAAAATTATTTTTTTCCTACATTTTTGGTGTGATATATTATTGTATATTTTTATAAATATACATATAGCTCTATTAAATAATTTTTTAATAAGGTGTTTTTTAAACAAAGTATAATTTTACATATTTACTGAAGCTTAATTTTTAAGACATACACTGAATAATTTAACTGATAATTAAATATCAATAGTAATATTATGATTTGAAACTGTATTTTTTTTTAAACAGTTGCAATTACTAAAAATCGTGTTAAATATTATTACTGCTGTTAATATTGCACAGTTGAGTGAAAGAAGAAACAAACTACAGTTTCATACGTAGGTATGTAATTTAAAGCAGGTAAATTGTTACAATTATTAAAAAATGTTGATTTGTATATTATTTAGTCTTAGGATATATGTATCTACAAAGACATCAGAAAAAAAAAACAAATAAAACAAAAAATACGAACAAAAGAAATGAAATACTTAAAATTTACATGCTTCTACATAATAATTTATTTATTTATTCCTTTCCTTTATTTTCTTTCTTTTTTTTATGAGAATAGATGTTATGTCTTTTTAGCGTTAAATTATTTGAAGCTAAAATGTTGCATCTTTACGTAGAAAGTTGATCTTGTTTTTAAAAATGCATTAATGGAAATATACTTATGTTTGTATTAAGTCGAATGAGTATACTTGAAAACAAATGTATTTCTTTTTAAAAATTTAAGCTATGACACGTTAAGTAGAATAAATTATTATTCTCGTACAATTAGACTGAACTTGGTAAGTACATTCAATTGTAAATCTGGCTCCTTTGGGAAAAATGGCGACCAAGGAGAACAACTTTCGGAGAAACTTCGGAAAACCGTCATGCACCGATATGGACCATATTATGCAAATAAGCTCTATTTTACAAAAGAAGATATCTGTGAGAATAATATTTGGCGACTAGAAAGAAAATTTTTTATCATTCTTATGTCAATCCCTGTATCATCGACAAACTGTTCTGAACACAAAATTCGCATCTTCGGATCCACGGAATATATTGCATACAGCATAAAATCAATATTAAGAAATATATAATGAATTCATAGCATATTAATCAATAAAATCAATATTAATTGAATTTTTACGAAAATGGAACAAGTAGCGCCATCTCCTCGGCGAATTAGGTGAACTACACACTTTTGAAACGATAGTTTAATTAGTTCTTCTCTTCCACCCCCAGATGGCGACACAAGACAAAAATATAGGAATTCCTATATTTTATAATCAATTAATAACTTTACAAAAATAACTAATTTTATTGGAATTGATTCTGAATTTAATTTTAATACGTGTACTTAAATTAACCTCTGATTACAGAATGAATGAATAGCAAAACGATTTTGTTTTTAAAATAAAATTAAATACGATCAAACGACGATTACTTCATTTGTTCATAAATACAAATAGAACTCTTCTTGATCGACGGCTTTGATAGTAGAACTCTTCTTGACAACAATTTGAAAACAATTTGAATTTAATTGGTCTTGCACTTTGATGTAATTCGATTCATATTACAGCCAATTAAGCTAATAAAATCAACTATATTATTTTTTTTGCTTTACATTCTTTATTGTAAAAGAAGGTAGAGTAAAATTACATATTTTCGTTCAATTATAATAACATTCAATATTGTTTCGCCTTGTCTTTTTTTTAATAATATTGATGTAAGGCAACGTGGTGATATTTTTTGTATATAAAATATCGGGAATGACAAAAGTAAAAAAGGATTAATCTTTTTTCTTAATACTCAACTGCTATCAAGGATCTTAAAAAAGTACTCCACCTCCAGCATTCCATCTTCTGGTAAATCAGAACAATGTATAGCATTTTGTACTTTGTTTTTTCCATATTTTGCACGAAGAGTATCTGGTCTCACTTGTCTTGCAATATCTGGATCCATAGGACCACAAAGCTTTCTAAATTCTTCTTGAACATCAAACTTCTTGTCTTGATGCTTTATTTCCATAACAATGCATGGTCCTGATTGCAATTCTCCTACCATAGCCGCATAATCAGGAAGGACTCCTTTGTAAACTTCTAAAAATTCCTCTGCATCAAATGGATTCACATGAAATTGTTGCACTGCAGAAATAAGATAACCAGCTTTCTGTATATCGTCAATAATATCTCCAACTAATTTAGCTTGAACAGCATGAGGTTTAATAATGCAACAAGTACAATTCTCTAATGTTGCTGTATTAGGTGGTCCCTTCTTTCCACTTTTTGGACTAGGAAAGAAAAATTGCAGTTCTTTTTCTGCAGCTTCCTCGTTTTCAGAGCCATGTATCGCGTTATGAATTTTATCTTTACCATAACATGCTCTAAGCGAAGATGGAGCTTTCGACCGAGCTTCTTCACTATCTTCAGGTCCTATTACTTCTATCCAACGTGTAATCGCGTTATCACCTAATAATTCTAAAGCCACAATTGGACCAGAAGTGAGATAATTTACAATGTACGTTATATTAGTACTATCTTCATCTTTGCAAAGGTCTGATGCTTCTTCTTTAGTTAGCTTAATCATTTTAATGTTTGCAATGTGAAAATTGCAAGAAATTATTCGTTTCAATAATTCACCCACTTTATCAATAACATTTGGTTTCAACATAGCAAATGTTTTTTGCATTTTAGTTTGCAATTTTGTCCGTGTAACGCAGTCTGCATAATCTGTTATGCTTATATTTCGTGAAAATATTGTTACAGTAGCTCCTACATAAAAATCCTTTGCTTGTATTCCTTCGCATTTTGTTCTTCTTAAAAATGTTTTTCTGGCCTTAATATCAAACAACTCTACTGTGTTGTCATATGGATAATAATATAAATAAAATTTCTTTAGAACGGTAGCTATTTTATCATACCATTCAGCTTCAAAGATATACTTTTCATTGTGATCTACCGACATTTTTTAAATCAAATTTATTTCAAACGTAATCCACCATACAACACTGAAAACAATTTTTCTCAAATCTCGTTGGGTTATGTATCGCATCAAAATCATTTGTTATAAGTTATGAAAAATAGTTTTCAATTATTATCATGTACACAGCGTTGTTATTGTGTATAAATTCTGACATATTTAGTTTCTATGGAAACAATGTTCCAACTATATTAGTTGAATTGAACAGTTTCAAATACGTGTAGTTCACTGTGTTCGCCGGAAAGATGGCGCCACTTGTTCCATTTCGGTGAAAATTCAATAAATATTGATTTTAACTCCGGAATGTTTTGACTTTACCAATTCATTATCAATTTGGACTTTCTTCAGAAAACTAAAATTTCCCTAAATCATATCAAATTTTGCAAGGAAGGAATCATCTGTGAGAATTGTTTTTGGCGATTTCAACAGAAATATTTTACTATTTTCATATTACTCCCTACATTACCGATGACACAATGAAAATGATGTCGCGTATAATGAACGTATGTGTATGGATATGCACATGTACGTTATATATAAAATTCATGTAGTTTTATTCGTTCGAATCACCAAAAACCGTCATCATAGATGTTTCCTTGTGAAAATAGGAGCTTGTTTGCATCCCTTGACCAGAATCGAAAAGTTTTTCTATAACTTCAATTTAAGTAATTATAAAACTGTATACACTTACTATATACATCAAACTAAACTGAAATAACACACACTAAATCGAAACAGAAAAATAAAACGTGTATAGCGAACTGTGTAAGGCGAAAATTCGAATCAGAATGCCAGTCTAAAAAAGAAATATCGTCACGAACATTTTAATCACCGGAAATGCACATTTCGGCGGGACGGCTACCCGGAAGCAGAGGTCGCCACGTGTCCATAAAATATAATTTAAAAAATTTTTGAATGTAATACTTTTAGTCAATTGCAAAATTATATTTGTGACTTTGCTATGCTCGTTGGATAATTTAAATGTTTTATTTTATGTAGAAACGCAATTTTCTACTTTAATAATTCCGTTCTCGATAATATTGTTACTCTCGTTATCTGAGAGTTCTAAAATACTTTCATCTTTTTATATTTATTGCTTAATTATAAGCTATTATCTTTATACTGCTTTTACATATTAAATCGTCGCAATATTACTCTGTTATGAATGTAAACTTTATTGTAAAATTCAATTATAAAAGATATTAACTTATGTCCTCACGTAGTTCCTAAAATCACTTTTCTATAACGTAAAGTGCGCAGTAAAGCAGCTTGCTCTTAAAAGTAAGCATATACTTGCGAAAATTTTATTATTTATCAATTTTCAAGATGTCTTTAATTAGGCATAATACAGGCACATGTTTTGTAATTGATAAGGACCTGTTCTCCTTGGTGTGCCATTTTTGCACTTGAGTGTTAGGTATGTATATTAAGTATGTATGTGTGTAAATACTGTTCTTAAACTGTGACCATGTGGTTTACAGTCTCCGCCAGTTCTAGTGATTGTTGTTTATAAATACTTATAAAATTTCTAAGCAATATCAGTTAATTACTATTCAGTCACAAATAGCAATCAATAAGTTTTGCTCCTATTATACGGATTGTTTATGTTGAAACTTCGTCATTAAGATCAAGAACATTAAAAAGATATGGTGGAAACATAACCTTTTACATAACCAGCACCAACAATGGTATTTCTTTCATATTTTTTATTATAAATGTAACATAGACACAAGAATAATATTAATTAGTTGTAAATTATAATTATAACTTTATAAATATGTATTTCTTATCTCTAATCGTACAATAATTAGTTCACAAAAGTGTACAATAAAAACAAACTTATTAAATTTGAATTAGAATTATATCACTTAATATTTATACGTGTACTGTTTAATTTAAGCATGTTTATTAATTAAAGTAAAAAGATCGAATATTTGCAATTTCCAATCGACAATATTGATATATATTATATGTACATATATTTATACAAATGTAAAACATATGCTGTGCCATTTATCAAGTGGCATTTTAGTATTTAATAATGGATGGTAACCAAGTAATGGGGAAAAAAACGATAAAACTGGTTATAAATATATTTTTATAGTGAATGTCAAATTAAGAGATTATTGTGTCCATTTTTGTCACATGAAATCTAACATTAACATCAAACTTTTACATAAATAAATTCATTTATTTATCAAGAATTATATCTAATTCTTATACCTATATTCTTATATAGAAATGTATTACATGTATTTCATGTTACACATAATAGAACAAATATTTTTTCATTATCTACAATATTCAGGTAATTGTAATTAAACATTTCTATTAATAATAGAATTAATTATATTAAATATGTATTCTATGTTGGTATTTTCATCAATGTTTCCATATCTTTACATCTTCCCCCATTTTTCTAGTTTCATTAGTTGTTTATTTTTACATTCATGGTTTTTGTTTTTATTCTCTTTCATTACTCAATCATTGTCTTACAGTATTGAGCCAAAACAAATTAAATACTTAAACATTTAAATCAAACAAATATGTATCATACAAGTTATTCATATTTTATGAATAACTCAATTTTAAATGTGTAATTCTTTTATTTTGAACATTAAATTATTTTCATATAATTCATGTTGTTAAACTTAATAAAATTTGATAAACTCTTAAACTTATAATGTTAATATAATATTTAGTATTTGTTTTAAATTGTACCTAATACATATAACTATTTTACATTTGATTATTCATTTCTTCAAAGGAGCATAAGTTTGATTTTCTTCAAAAAAAACAAACGGCCCAAATACCATGAAGAACTTAACATCAAAACAATTACAAAGAATAGAAAAAAAGAGAAAGAAAATGGCTGCCCTTTTAGAAATTACTAAATTAAATGATAAAGACAGAGAAGCAAAAATACTTGCTCTTAAAACAGCAGTTAGTATAATCAATAAAATTGTACTATTTTCTACAAATTTTATTTGATAAATATTATTCTAGTCCATAGGATCAGATCACTCTGATAACACAGATAGTGAAATTTCTATGGAAGAGAACTGTAAACGTAAACGACCCTGTAATGAAGATTTAAAAGAAACTTATTCTGAGGATTCTAGTAAAAAAGATGTTGAAATCATGGAAGAAATAGATCCACTTGCCAATAAAAAACCTAGGTTTGTAAATTATTTATGGGTGGTATAATTTTTAGAAATATATTCTAACTCTTTATATTGCAGATTAAGTGGAGACGAATACTTAAAATTAAAACAAGAATTAAGGGAACGTAAAAAGAGACTTAAATCAATTCCTAGGTTTCACCTAAAAGCAGTTGGTGAAAGTGCTAGTATAAGTATTAATGCTAAAAGTGATAATAGGATTCCTATTTTTCTTAGCGATGTACAACATTTGTTACTTTATTCATTACATGGCCATCATTCACCCTATCTACCAACAAGATGGTGTCATCTTGAAAAGTATAATAAGGTAATATTAAAATATTAGAAATGAATCTAACTAAAATTAATGGAAACTCTGTTTATTACTGATAATCTCTTTTAAAAGGTATCACATACAGTGGTTCTAGTAATAGAAGGCCTTTCTATATACCACTTTATGGCTTATGAAAGTATGTTTTCACATATAACATCAAAATTGGAACATCGTGTAGAAGTGGTAACACCTATGATATATGGAGGATCAGTGATAGAAGATCTTGCAGCCGTTCCCATAACTGGGGTACAAAGTGATAAATTGATTAAACGTATATATATATTTATAACTGTAAATTTTGTATTAGTATATTGTGCTTAAAACGGTAATTATAAAAATTCTTTTCAGAGTACGGATCATTAGAAGGTGCATTACATAGTACTGGAGATGTAATAAAATTATTACGAACTGTTTTTCCGATGTCTAAAACAACGGATATCGAAAGTTCTATGAGCATGTTTGAATTACCTATTACTGACAAATTTCCTAGAACACAATTACTTTTATCTTTATGTCAAATGGTAGAAGAACATTATCCTATTCCTTTAAGAGGCGAACTAGCCAAGAAGTTAGTATTGATAATAAAAATATTTTTAATTATATTTATATTAAATTAATAAACGTTTATTTTGTAGATATGAAAGTTATATAATGACAAAAGATATATATGTAGAAGCTACTGCAAAATCTCCAATGTTTGGTTTAGATTGTGAAATGTGTAGAACAGTCAGTGGAGAATTAGAATTGACAAGAATATCACTGGTTGATGAAAAACTGAATGTGAGTTTAAAATTAAATTTATCTGCATCAAAACCAGTATATAAATTTTATTTAATTCTTATCACAGATTATTTATGATAGTCTGGTAAAACCGGAAAATTCTATCACGGATTATCTAACCCGATTCAGTGGTATAACAAAAGAAATGTTGGAAAATGTTACTACTACATTATCTGATGTTCAAGAAATGTTGCGAAAATTACTTCCTCCAGATGCTATTCTTGTTGGACAGAGTTTAAACTCAGATCTGCATTCCTTAAGAATGATGCATCCTTATATTATTGATACATCTATAATTTATAATATTACAGGTGACAGGTAATTATATATCAAAATACTCTTATTTTTGGAACAAAATTTAATCACAGAAATATTTATATTAAGCAAATTTTAATGAATATAATTGATATAGATACAGGAAAACAAAATTACAAACACTAGTAAGGGAATTTCTTGGCGAACGAATACAAGAAAGCAAAGCTGGTCATTGTTCGACCGAAGATTCAAAAGCTTGCATGAAATTAGTACAATTAAAATTAGCAAATAGCCTAGACTACGGAGATGCTGTCTTACTTGGCCGATGTGATATCGAAATATTAAAGATGGAAGTAGAAAAACGCGATGCTAATCATAAATCACTAAAAAGTGAAATACGGAAATATGCTACTTCAATCTTTAAGCATGTAACTAAAGATAAAAAAACTGCTGCTATCGTGGGAAATACAGAAGTTATGGATGAATATTCGATGTATTTAACGTCATCCATTAATATCATGGATGACAAAAATTTTGATAAGGATGATCAGGTATATATTTTATTGTTAAATTATAAGTAATTTTAATAAAATTTATTCTTTAATTTTTATTGCAGGTGCGACTTGTAGTAGCAAATAGTAATAAGCATGCCGTAACTCGAGCTTCTCAAATAGCGATGGAACACGCTTTTACTTTGTGTCACATTAGAATAAAAGAAGAAAAATTAGAAAATGACCGAATGGAAGAAACGTTCTGTACAGTAAATAAATGGGTACATAAATTGTGGGAACATATGGCAATAAATGGATTAGCATGTGTTATATTTGCGGGAGAAAACAATGCAGCAAATGGTGTATGTTTCTTGAATATAAAAAGAGAAGTACCTGAAAACTGCGTAATACGCGCTTGAACAAATAAGCATTTATTTGTACATTAACTTCAACGAAAATAATAAAAATTATAATTCTGACAACATTAAAACAAATTGTAAAAAAATACAAAAATCTAGAAAACAGTCATGTGATGATCAATTTTTGTTTCGATGTTTATTTACTAGAAATGTACAGATATTGTATTATTAATAAACTTTTGTAATCTGTAAATTTCAATTTAATAGGACCACTTACAATATATTTAAATATCTGTTGCTCAGAGCATATGAATCTATAAGATGAAAGTTAAATTAAAAGAAACTTTGTATTCAATTAGACTGATTTAAATTATTTTTAATTATTTTTATACGTCTAACATATTTCTATTATAATACATTACTGATACAGGTACAATAATATTAGGATTTATTTCTAAAAATGAATATTTATAAGTTTCTTTTGTCATCATTTATTTGCATAAATCAAACTTATCCTATAAATGACAAAGTAAAAAACAGATGGATTAAAAATGTACATATGGTGTTATAGTTTGTATTCTGTTTTTAAATGAAAATGTAGTAACAATTCACTGAAATATAGTAAGGATTTTATAAAATTTCTATTTTATAATCATTATCCTCACTTATTCTCATCATAAAACATAATAATATCGCAGTGATTACAATTATATTGAAATGCTAAATGTTTAATTATTTACCCTTCAAATTTTAAAACAACAGTAAATATATAAGTAATAGAATAATAAATATCACTGAGTGATTTTATTTAAGGAGGTTGGAGGACATTTAGAACATTTATATTTGTTCCATTATACAAACATAATTTTTATATATAACATTTTAAACCTATATATTTTTAAAACCTGCAGATTATGTTACAATAAAAATAAATTAAATTTTAATATGGTTTACTACAGAAATTATCGTTACCTGATACTTTTTGTTTCTTTAAACACATTAAATATGCAGAAATAGGTTGTCGTGAATTTCTAGCAAGCATTTTTTGCTTAAAAGAACCTATGCCTGGAATTTTTTTCTTCTTTTTAATTTTTTGAATATTTGCAACAGCGAAATTTGTTGTAGCTCCACAGGAACTTAATGGCACGAAATCATCTTCATACGTATCCTCTGTCTTATCCTCTAAATTGAACATTGTACGAGATGGTAATATTTTTCCTTCTCTCTTTGATATATTCTTCATTCTTTTTACTGGAATGTCCGAAAGATTTTCAAGCAGATCATCAGGAAGCCGTTTAATACCCTTCTGCATACCTATTTCTTTAGCTTTTATTTCTTGTTTTCTTAATTTTTGTTTTTCATTCTTAAGTTCTTTGTCACGTTCCATTTCTTCCATTCTTTCTTTTCGTTTTTTCTTTTTCATTTCTTTGTTAGCTTTAATACTATCAGCAGTATGCTTTATAATTTTTAATGCTTCATCTCGAGCTTCAGCAAATGTAACTACTGTTGGACCTTCATCTGAATCTGACCCTGCATCATTAAATGTAGCTTTGGCAGATTTTGCTTTACTTTTTTTCTCGTCTTCTACTAATAATTTATGCTTCTTCTTTGCTGCTTTTTCGACTAAAATATTGTCACTTTCTGAAAAATCATTTGATGACCAATCCTTCTTCCTCTTCCTAGACGGAACTTCATGTTCCAAAACAACATCTTCCGATAATTTTTTCTTTCTTTTAGGCAATTTTTCAGTCGTCCTTTCATTGCCTGATAAAGTAATGTCTTCTGACAATGATTTTTGTTTTTTCTTAGATATTTGTGTAGTTATCTCTTCATTCCAGACAGGTGTACTTTCTTTCTTTTTCTTTTCTAATATTTGATTTTCCGATTGTGTATCTGAAACATTTTCAACTAATTTTATCTCCTGTTTCTTTTTTACCTTCTTAGGTACTAATTTTTTAGTACTTTCTGGCTCTATATTTTCGTCTATTTGTTCCGTAATATCAGTAGGTGTTAATTTTTGTTTCTTCTTCTTCTTCTTCCTCTTCTTTTTCTTCTCTCCTTCATTCAAAACTACTTCTTCAATTATTTCATTTTTATCGGTATTAGTGGCAGAAACAATATTTTCACTATCAATTAAAACTTGTGGAGCTGTATCTTCATGAAAATCATCGTCTGCAATTAATTTATCAGGATTACTGTTTTCTTCTTTTTGCTTCCGTTTCTTATGTTTTTTCCGGCGATCAGCCTCTAAAATATTGTCAGCTACTTTAAGCAACTTCTGTTTTAACGAGGTATTTATTTCTTCTGTATTAACATCTTCACTTTCTTCTTCGAGCTGATTTAACGTTTTATTTTGTTCATCATCATTTATTTTTGTCAACTTACTATCCAATTTCAATACTGGCGCAGTGTCATTTAATCTGTCTTTTTTCAAATATTTTGTTGTGGGTGTTTCACTATCTAGGACTGCAATTGTTTTATTTAATTCTGCTACTTTAGATGGCAGTGGTTTTGAAAGTTTCACATTTTCTACTAATTCGGCTAGTTCGGATGGAAGGTGCTTATCCACGAGATTTTCTTTACTTTTTTGTTTACTTAGTTTTGTAAAACTGCTTTCTGCTTTTGAATCCTCAATTTTTCTCTTATCAATAGAAGTATCTGTTTTACTATCACTTGCAGTTTTAGTTTTTTCATCTGCTTCTTCTGTCGTAGGTAAATAATGACTTTTAGGAGTACTGCATTTATTAAGTTTTTGCCTTCCCTTATTAAACGTTGAGTAAGAGTCATTTAATGGTTGTTCTATATCTTCAACTATAAATTCACTTACAGCCCGCTTTTGTTTTGCTTTCTTCATTTTAAGAGACTGTGAAAGCGACGCGTCAGACAAACTGTGTTCTTTTTCATTTTGAGATGTATCTATCTTTTTGGACTTTTGCTTCTTATTATCGCTTTTGGCGTCAGACGTGTTCAAATCATCAGACATTTTTAATTTACTTTTACGTTTAACAGAAGTATCTACTGACACATCCGCTTCATAATTTTCTTTTTCATTTTCACTTGTTTCTTTCTCGACTGCATCTTCTTTTTCATTTATCTCGATATTTTCTTCCTCGTTTCCAGACTCTTCACTCTCGTCTTCTTCTTCTTCAACGTCATCATAAACTACAAAATCTGCAAGATCTGATCCATTATCATCTGGATCTGATGATTCTGTTTCTGATGCTCTACATTCATCTCCAGGAACATCATCATCAGAAAACTTACATGTATCTTTACCATCAAGATTGTATTCTCTTTCAATATCTGAGTCTATACTTTTATCAGATTCATTATCACTGTCAGTATTAGATCCTTCACCTAACAAAAATTTAGGAAGCTCTATTGTTTCATTTTGTGAATCATCAGAATTACTTTCACTGTCAGAATCTATAACGTTTCTTGTTAGCGAACGATTTTTTTCGAACTTTTTCTTTTTACTTTTCCGTTTTTCAGGAAGACTAGATTCTTTACTATCATTATCAGATTCCTTTAAACAAGCCACTTGCTTCTTCGATGAAATATTTAAGGATCGCTTCTTTTTATTCTTTTTAGCTGATGTCATTATGTCACTTCCGCTATCTAGTTCAGCATCTGCTGTTTCTTTTTCTTCTTCAGATTTATTGGATTTATTCAAAGATTTTTTCTCTGTGGATTCAGTTTCATCTACTTCTCGAACAGACTTGTTAAGTGATTTTCGTTTTTTCGAAATACTCTCGGACAAATTATTTTTATCCGATGACAAATTCTCTTCTGTATCTATTGTTTTATGTGATTCATTTAAGTCTTTTCCTTCAGTTGATTTGCGGTTCGAAACATTATGTTTAGAAGTAGAATGTTTATTCTGTTTCTCTGTTATTGATTTATTCTGATTTACAGCTTCAGAATCAGTATTTGGTGTTTCGCTTTCAGAATCTTTCGTATTTTTCGTTAAATTTTCATTATCAATATTACTTTCATTTGTAGATGCTTCTTTACTGATATTTATTTTGTTATTGTCTGCTGATGTATCTATTTCCATTTGTTCAATCTTTTGTCCTTTCCTAGAATCCCTTTGCATCTTTAACACAACTGTATCATCCGAATCATAATCGGAGGCTTCTGCTTCCTTTTCTGCTTTTATATTTTCAGCAGCTAACCATGCTTCCTTATCAACTAAAACAAGATCACATTCAGCTTCCGTTTCATGTTCCAATCTTTCAGTTGACACCGAATGAATTGAATTCTTATCAATATCGACGTTCTTCTCCTTCCATTCATTGGCTGGGATATCTTGAAATAAAGTTGCTGCATTTTTATCGGAGTCATTATCATCAACGTCCATACTTTCTTGATTCTTAGTACATGTTTCTTGAATAGATTCAGATTTCTGTTCAACTGATTTCTCTATAGGTTGGTCCTTTGACATTGAAGAGCCGTGCGTAGACAGGTCTTCTTTTTCTGGCTTTCCTTCAGTAACTTCGGTTGGCGTCTCTGCAACAGTAGAAGATAGACTACTTTTAACCATATTAGTTACACTATCTTCATCTGCGTTAGTAGATATAGAATCTTCTGGACAGATACTATCATTTGAAGGTTGTAATACAGTATTTGTATTAGAAGAAGTAGTATTTGGTTTATTTATACTTTCAAACTCAGATGCGTCTTTATTCTCTGAATCAGTATTCGTAATTAATGTCTTCTCTGGAGAAGTAAGAGATGAAGTGTTTTTACAATTCACTTCATCATTACCTTGTACATTGTCTGATGTACCTGGTTTAACTTCCTCTTTTACATTATCCTTATCATTGATGCTTGTTTCTTGTTTAGTATCTTTTTCAGAATCTTCATTTACATTCGTAATTTTTTCTACACTTGAAGTTGCATCCGTTTCGATTTCATTCAATTCTTCGTCTTGTATTTCTGTAGCTTCTTCATTACTTTCTGTAAGTTTATCACTATTATCTGGAGATTTCACATCGTCTGTACACCTTATAAGTTCAATACTGTCACAGGAACTTGAATCCGTACATATTTTTACAGAAATATTCCTATCTGGACTTGTATTAAGTGTAGTTCCACTTAATGAATCTGATTCTATAGCTAATTTTGGCATATCAGAATTATCTGTATCTTCTGCATTTGGTGACGCAGTCAAATTTTCTACTACCGAATTATTAGTTACATCGTTATCAACTTCCTTTACAGGAGAATCATCCATTGATTCTGATGATTTTGAATGTCGACTCCTTGGTAATAAATTGCAAGGAGATTTACATTTTTCTTTTATTAACTTGTTTGAGTTACTTACAGATAAAGGTTTTGGGCTTTGTACCGGTGTATTAGAACCTGTATTTTCGATATTTGGTTCATCACTAATAATATTTGCTGCTAGATTCTCCTTATTACTAAAATCTTCATGTTTTTCTATTGAATTGGTTAATAAATTTTCAATTTTTAATCCTAATTCTTTAGATGTATTTTGATCAGCCTTTTGTGAAAATGGTTCAGATGAATTATGTATAGAAGAATCCATTTCTGTTACTGCCGGTGTAGATACGGTTTTATTTTCTTCTGGCACATTTTTATCATCTGTAATCTTTTGTGAAAATGTTTCAGATGAATTAATTTCTATTACAGTAGATGTAAGTACATTGTTAGTTTCTTCTGATACATCTTTATCATCATCTGTAATTTTTTGTGAAAGTGTTTGAGATGAATCAATTTCTGTTACGCTAGATGTAAGTAAGTTTTTACTTTCTTCTGACACACTTTTATCATTTTCTGTCATCTTTTGTAAAAATGATTGAGATGAATTCATATCTGTTAATGTAGATGTTTCTTCTGACACATTTTTATCATCATCTGTCATCTTTTCTATAGATGATTGAGATGAATTCATTTCTGTTCCAGTAGATGCAACTAAGTTTTTACTTTCTTCTAACACATTTTTGTCATTGACTGGTGTTACATTTTTATCATCAGTAGATATATCCTTTTCAACACTCTCAACAGATTTTGGAGGAGGATTTTCTGCAAGATTATTGCATTGTTCTATAATTGTTGTAAATTTATATACATGTTAGGTAATAATAACTTTTTGATTAAAAATTTGTTAACATATTTTATAAAAATACAAAATAATATATAAAAACTTACCACTAGTATTATCTTTATCTTCTTCCTCATTTACATTTTGATGTTTTGTGTCAGGAGTATTTTCTGTATTTGGTACTGACTCATCTGAATCTAAAATATAAATAATATGCAAACCATAAGTAAAACTTTTTATAAATTTATACATGGAACCATTATCAAAATCTGATTGTAGAAAGCAATGTACCATTTTCTTTTGTTTCACTAACGTTAGGTAATGTACGGTCTAATGTCACCATTAGAATTTTTAGAGTTTCTTCTTTCTCCTCTAGAACAGTTGCTTCTGAAGGTATTATTGATGTTCGTCTTCTTGTCCTAACAGGTGTACGTGTTAATTCATGTTCGTCCCTCTGTATAAGATTATTTTCTGCATTAGTTTCAGGTTCCATGGATGTAGCTCTTGTATTACGTGTAACTCTTAGTGGTGGTGATTTTGACTCTGAACCAGCTCTCGTAAGTCGTTTACTGTAAAAGTGAAAAATAGTATAAAATTATCTCAATGAGAAAAATTGTTATAATGGTAAATAATGAGTATACATACATTCTTTGACTACCAGTCCTATTAAGCATATCATTAACAATGCTATGTCTATTTCTTTTTGTTGGTGTAGCTGTAGTAGTAGCATCAACTTCTGGGGTTTCGCTAACATCTGAGGATACAGAATTTCTCCTAGAACGCAAGACTCTCTGCTTTTCAGTTGCAGTAGTATTATCCATTGTACCTGTTCGTTTCCTTGTAACTCTTGTTTGTGTATTACTCACACTACTATCATTTGATTCGGGTGAAGAATCATTTTGTTTAACTAATTTAATTCGGGTACTACGACGGAGCGATGTGTCGGCTGACCCAACATCAGTAAGACGAGTCTTGCGACCTAATATTTCAAAATAGATATAAAAACATAAAAAGGAAACATTTAAACTGTATAAAATTTAAATTGCTGATTTCAAAACGATTCAACAAAAATATTGTTGCACTTTAACAATATATGAAAAACGAGTATAATGGTGAAACCGAGATGACCGTTACAATCGATGATCGAGTGAACCGCATGGGTGTAAAACCAAAAACGAAAAATACAAACCGGCAGTTTTTACATCTACCTCTTCTTCTGAATCTTTGACAGAACGCGGCATTTTCTTTATGTACTAAATCATGTATCACAAAACAAATTATATCAAAAAAACACTCGATACGAAATTAATTACGAACACGTGTTATAGCCTGAATTTAAACTAGCGATATTCTTCTCGATACATTGTGCGCAGAACATTCATCGTTGAAAAGCATGCAGAGACCTCAAGTGACGAGACAGGAGAATGTTCCGATTTCTGAAATAACGTTCGTTACAAGGTTTTATTTAAATTAAATTAAATAATTGAGCATCAATTGACATTTCATTTAACATAGAAAATTGTAAAAATCCTTACACATAATAACTGAAGTAACATATCGTACAGTTTTAATACAATTACAATTGTGTTAGAGTAGCAACGAAAAACGCGGGAAAAATGTAAATGAAACCGTTGAATTGAAGGAAATAAAATTAAATAAAAATTACAAGCGATGTAGAATTATTAAAAGTACAAATATAACGTTCTTTATGTTATATTGAATGTTAGAAAGCTTAGAATTGTTTTCTTAAATATCAATAAACGTATAATCGGTCCATATAAAATATAGTCTTAATAAAACTTGTTTTATATATATGTATTTTATTATATGTATATTAATTTAAAGTTATGAACAGTTAAAACTTTTTATATCTAAAAAATGTTAGATATATTAATGTAAATAACATACTTTGTGCGGTATAAAATATAATTATTAAAGTCTGTACATCAAGCCCGGCTAGCTCAGTCGGTAGAGCATGAGACTCTTAATCTCAGGGTCGTGGGTTCGAGCCCCACGTTGGGCGGTTTCTTTTTTTCTTTTTACGTACAATATTCTTTATAACATATGCATTATATTCAATATCAAATTAATTATATTTAGTTTAATTAAAAAATATCTGTTTTACTCAGATATTTTACACGTTTTGGATTTTGGTATTTCAGTGTAAGTAATGCAAAATAAACATCGAGTAAGTTAAGGTTGTTTACTATTAAAAATAAATTACTGGAATGTTAATTTCTAACTTAAAAATATGCGTTGAAATGGATTTATTGATCAAAAAGTTGGATATACTTTTAAACAGGGAAAATATACATCATAAAGTCGTTTTGGTACAAATGGTTGTTTTTGGTAGAAATCATATGTGTTAACAATAAAGCGAAAGATAAAAATGTTTATAATTAAACGTACAGTGAACAATTATATTGTCTGCATATATTAAATTCTTTGATTTGTTAAATAACATCAAACTCTAGACAATATCAGATATTACTAAAAGTTTGAAAGCTTAATTAATAATAAAATAATAATAATAAAAAAGTGAAATGCAATATTTTGTATTAATGTACGTACATGTACAGATATTAAATATTTAATATATATTTTATTTCACCATTATCTTTATATTTATTTTCCACATGATTTATATGTAGAATAAATTGTTCACGAGAATTCTAATTGTAATTGCAAAATCATTTTTATTTCTAATTCAAATCACTTTTTTTCCAAAATAAGTGTTTCTGTTTGTATTTTTGAGGGGTAATGTATGTGGATGGTACAAAGTGTTAGTCATTTGTACACAGTTTATAATTAACGAAATCTCCGCGTCTGACCATTTTGAATGCTTCACTACTTACGCAGCACGAACATATTATATTTCTTGTTGTCAAATACGAATTCACTCATATTACAAAGCAATGGCAATTTAAATTGCAAGCTCATGTTTCAAAATATTGGGATTTTCAATTACAAACTCCTCGTGCAGAATATTTAGACAGAAAGCCATCGACTCGTATTGCAGTATTACAGTTTGTGATTTGGGACTCGTGTTAAAAAATATTAGAATTAAAAATAGCGCTTTCGAATTGCATAATAGTACAAATTTTAGTTATAAGATTTATTACTAATATAATAGCACAAATATACAAATTTGAATTGGATAATAGTATAAAACTTTGATGTTTTCAAGTTGATGTTATTTGCAAGGAGAGTATTAACTTTATATATTAATACAATATATATATATGTTAATATTATAAATATAATATAAGTCAATATTAATGTAATATTAATATAATAAGTGTAAGGTGAAGTGGGGTAAGTGCAGCCTGTTTTTCGTAAAGTTGCTATTTAAACGTAAGTATTTTCAGTCTGCTATGTAAATACTAAACACTGTCGATATCGAACGCTTTGCACAATTACTACTATTTATTTAATATTAACTAGGACCTTAATTTTCTTTCTACATTTTGATTTTGATAGGAAGTTGTTTAAAATGTCAACTACTCTGCACTTTCCACGAAAATGGGGTAAGAGTGTAACTTGAAGTTAAATACTTTGAAACTTTATTTCATGTGCAATGAGGCAAGAGCAGAATTTTAACAAATTTGCTATAAAATGCTTTTTACTGCATTATGCAAGTACTCTATACTGCAAACAAGTATTCTTAGCTGAAATATAAAAGGGGATATAGTGAAACAAAACAAGGAAACAAACATACTAAATGGAGAAATGCTCATATTCTAATAAAAATGCCCTGTATACGCACTTGTCCCGTTTGCGAACTTACAACACTTCACCTTCCTAGCTTTTTTGTAAGAAACATTTTTAGTGACAGGGGTCTTAAACGTCCTAGTATTTCAGGTATTCTGATGAAATGTGATCATCGAGTGTTCAACGAATAGTCTAAAGTTTCAAGAATGAAAATGAAAAATGATCAGGATTTAAATGTCAAGTTTTAACGTCTCAGTTCTTCTTCCTGTCGTTAAAAGTTCTAAGATACTCTGAAATGAAAAAGAATAGAGGTAAATTTCTATACAGATTATTGCATTTAGGTCAAGGGTTCTAGAGTTCAAGGGAGAACCCTACGTTCTGTTGACCCATTTTTCCCCCTTGATTCGGTGCAGCTTGTATATCGACCCTAGACAACTTTTAAGCCTGGGATCCCATAACTTGCCCTAATTTCCTTAAGTCGTATGTTTACTTAACGTGTCCTTGACTCGATATATATTTCAAATTTTAGTACTATGTATTTTATGAACAATAAAAACGGAATTAGAGCATCTCTTTAAATTAATCGTTTTGAATCTTAACAACATGGAAACTCTAACCATCATTCTTTAACAACTCTAACTAATGCTCTAACTTTAACTCTAACTCTAATTTGGTTCTATTTGTGAATTGTCAACAATCGAATAACCTTTAAAACAATATTTACACGTTCACTTTTTCAAGAGTGATCAGTAAGTACTAGACTGTAATTATTAGACTGTATTACGTAATTAAAACATCTTTAAGGAAGACATATTATAAGATAAGGAAGATATTAAGATATCTTAAAAAAGAACAGAGATATTTTGTTATTAAGAGCTTGACATAATATGTACTAACAAAAAGTATAAAAAAGTTTGAAGTAAACATAAACACCTGGTATGAGAAAATCTTAAAACAAAATTATAACAAAAATTAGATTTTGTTTACGTTAAAACTGCAATATTGATCATAAGAGATGTCGAGATGACTTCTAGCATAATATCAAAAACACGAGTATTAAATTAAAAAAATAAATGATTCGCATGTAAACTATAGTTTATTTTATACACTAGTAAACATTGTTTAACATTTTTTTATTTTTAATATAATATTAACAATTTATGCTATATATTTGAATATATATTTACGTATTAATAATTAGTATTATAATTAATAATTACTAAAGTAATTATAATATGTATAAGTAACTAGTATTATAATTATTAATTAACAATTAGTATTATACTTTTCACTATATTCTTTTTTAATATTGTATTGTTGCAATTTATTTTATCAGGTTGGAAGAATGATTTAGTATCCTTCGAAGACTTTATTGGACTCTTTTAACTTCATAACTGCTGAACGAGACGTAATAATCGAAGTTGTGTAACAGCCACGTGTTCTGAAACACGTTACTATAGTGACACGTACCATAGGGCCATAGGGGTTGCTGGCGAATAGAGGGATACCTTCGATATCAGCGGACGATCTAATTTTATTTAGCATTAAAGAAATATAATGATTTATCTCTTCAAACATAAATCAATGAAAAGCAGTTTATTTAATAACATTATGTTATCGTTATAACGTTATTATTAAGTGATTTCAAAGGTCTTGACAAGATTTTAGACAGTAATTAATTCTTTGTTATACGATCCTTACTTTTTAATGTAAAGAAGGATCTTTATTTTTTTTAGCAATCTATTAAATTAAGAGTTCATTCTGGTGTAAATGTTTTTCAAAATTTTTTCTTCTATATTTTTAAAGGAAAATTATGTTGAATAACTGCATGTATGTAATAATTAAAAAATTATGTTACATAACTGCACTTATGTATTAATTATGAAATTTTGTTAAATAACTGCACTTATGTGTTAATTAATTTTAGAAAAATTTACATAAATTGAAAATTGTAAGTAGGGGTAAACTTGTACCACTTGCCTTTAATTTTGGAGGTTTGAAACATGTCAACTTAATGATCCTCAATTTTCCAAATTTTCAAAATAAATTTTTGAGGTTGCCATTTTTCTAACTGTTAACTTAATTCCATTTCGATTTTAAATTCATTTCTAATTCTTAATTACTATATATCAATCAAATTTATTCTCAATTATTCCATAACATTATTTATAATCCACATGAAAATGTTGTACAAGATATTACAGATAGAAAATTGAGCTATAATGATAAAATCATCTTCTAGTCATATTTTCCAAGATTTTATGACTACATTACTTTGTTTTTAATAGTACTATAAGACTTACATTTGATAATTTACATTTCTGTTACGATGGTCGTTACAAAACTACTTTGATGCTGCAGCGTTGATTCATGAATAAATCATTAGATACTATGATGCAACATAGTACTTATAAATAATATATGGTGCACTTATATAGCTCTATTACAGTTTATTATGGTACTGTAGTTGTTGTTTATAAAATTCCTTGAAACTTTCTGTTCAAAAAGATCTTATTTCTGAATTCAAAATATTTTACAAACAATGTCATAAAAACCTAACCTAACATCAAGGTACAAAACATTTGGATGCTGCTTCCGAACATTTTTAATATTTGTTTTAAAAGTATGTAAAAAAACAAAAATGTGTATAAAAAGAAAATTTATTGAGAAAAATGAAGAATTAAAGAAAAAAT